GGGTTGTCGGCAATGGTAACTGCGTTATAGTAAAATTATAGTTACAGTCAAAGTAATTAGTTAGATTACTCGTTACTAAAAAAAGGTAACGGCGTTAGTAAGGAATGCCCAGAGATCAGCAGCCAACAGTAGTATCTTAGGCAGCCTGGAGAAAAACAAGAGATAGGTCTATATCACAGGGTCTTTCTTGGTGCAGCAACTCCCAGTAAAAGTAGCTTTCAAAGATGTAATTGCTCAGCCCTGGTTGACAGTGCAGCAAAGGGAGCACGAAGTGACGTGCACAGCAGCTTCTTGGGCAGAAACAGACGGCAGTCCTTACCGTAAACCTCCAAGTTTGATTCTTGTAGCCGAGTTCTCCAACTGCTGCACACACATAGACAGGTCATGAGTGGCCAGGTGGTCCTTAATCTTATCATCTAAGCTTTGCATAGACCCAGCCATCAGAGCATCCTCCTTCCAATTACAGTCTGCTGCCATGATATGAAAATCAATTGTGTAGTCTGTCTAAGTATGCCCATTTTACCTGATGGCGCAGAGCTTCTTAGAAGTCCCTCAACTGGGTAGAATGGGATTATACACCAGAAAAAGTTATTTGATGAAAGAATCATAAAAATAGCAGATCCTAGTGTTCATGTGTTTTTCAACAGTGTCTCAACTTTTGACTTTGCCAGACGGTAATGATATTAAGAAAGGTACTTCGGAGAGTTCTGAGGTAAATGCATCTCATACTACATCAGAATGGAGTGGAAATGAAAAGTTCAACCAAACTAACTTAATTCACGAGATTGTTTTAGCTGAGTCTTTCATTGTTGAAGCTGGAGCAGTACGAAATGATTCTTGTGTGTTTGTGATTATTCAAATACTGCGAGAACTCAGATTACAAGAATAATATTGGATTCACTTCTGAGTTATGACATTAGCAGATTTTAAGTCAATCAGCTAAATTTCCAGATGCATAGAATGGAGTATGTTACAAATCCGTGTTGACCAAGGGTTTGTCTACACAATTACTACTTACTCTAGTTATAATCATTATAGTCCCAAATTTAGAATGCACACAACATCGACACACAAGTTGTAACCTTAACTTTAAATACATATTTATTACCACTGATAATTACATTAGGAGACAGTGTTGAATATAATACTTTTAACCTGTCAAAGATCCCAAACTACAATACTGTAATATCAAATTTTCTTCAAATGTTCTTTCTCATTACCTTTCTGATTCAATAGAATTAAGCTGTAGAACTATATGGGGGGAAACCTTGAGACACATTAAATGCAAAGTGGAATCACAGTTGTGTGTGATTTGCACAAAAAGCTTTATCAGTTTTCAGGTAAAGCTACAGCCCTAACCTCGGTTTAATGGTAGATCAATACTGTCAGCAGCACATGCAGCAGGAGCCTTCTGTGGACTGAGAAAATATCAAACCATCTATAAAAGCGGACAGAATTATGATCCAGTCTAAATGAAAAGTAGATCTACTAAAACTATCTTTATAAACAATTTATTGTGATGCTAGAAATGGCACCTAGGTGATAACTGATAATGGACCATCATTAGCCTTCTGTTTCCTACTTAAGTAACTCTATAGGACATTTAACAAGTCAAAGTTATGCACAGTGAATTGTTATATAAGGTTCTTAAATGTAGTAAATAGAGTAGAGAAAAAAAAAGAGTAATTGTGGGGGCGATGGTGGTGGGGGTATACATTGTGTCACTTGTTTAGGCTCAGCGCCACTTTGCACTAAATCAAGGGGGCCCAAGCAAGAAAGGTTAATAGATATTAAAGATCTTCTAGTATTTTTGTAATGCATGTTTTTTTTTTTTTATTCACTTTTTGAGTGTAAATAGTTGAGTTTGTCTTATTCCACTCTGAAATGAATGCATAGTACAAGTAACTGTTGGATTCAGAAAATGTATGTTTGCAAATAAATAGAAATTGAGTCTACACAGGAAAGAGATTCAAGCAGCTTCTACAGGAGCGGAAAGAAAAAGTCCAACCCAACTTCAAGCTTTCTTTCTCCGAATCCCCTCCTGCAGTCGTCTTTCATTAACAGAACATAACACATGGTTACAAAACAATGTAATTTTTAAAAAATGTTGTTGCTATTATCATGGGAAGTAAGTAGATCAGTTACTTAATAGCCATTTTACCAAATACTTATTTACTCTTACTTGAGTAACTTCTTTAACGGCTACTTTTTAATTTTACTTGAGTAAAAATATGATGTAGTGCTACTTTTACTTGAGTAACAACTTTTGGGTACCCTACCCACCTACTGTATGCTTCTCTCTGTGCTTAATTAGGATAATTTTCCCCACCTGCGTCTTCCTGG